CACCTTTACCTGTTGCTTCATTCCCTTAGGTAAATATTAGAATGGACTTTGTGTTAGGGTTACCTAGGACCCAAAGGGGCATGGATTCTATTTTTGTGGTAGTGGACCACTTTAGTAAAATGACCCATTTTATTCCATGCCACAAAGTAGATGATGCAAGCAACATTGCGAAACTCTTCTTTAGAGATGTGGTTAAACTTCATGGACTTCCTAAGTCCATAGTGTCATATAGAGATACTAAGTTCCTAAGCCATTTTTGGCGTGTCTTATGGTCAAGACTAGGAACTAAACTCCTCTTTTCTACTACTTGCCATCCTCAAACTGAGATAGTCAATAGGTCTCTATCCACTATGCTTAGGGCATTTTTGAAGGGTAACCATAGATCTTGGTATGAGTATCTACCACATATTGAATTTGTCTACAATAGAGTAGTCCATAAGACTACCAATATCTCCCCTTTTGAGGCTGTGTATGGATTTAACCCTTTAACTCCTATGGACTTGATACCTCTACTTGATGTTAATCATTTTATTCATAAGGAAGGGGCTTCAAGGGTTGATTTTGTTAAAAAAATTACAGGAAAGGGTTAGATCTCACATACAGCAACAAAATGAGAGATATGCCAAAGCTAATAACAAAGGCAAAAGAGATATGATCTTCGAGCAAGGTGAATGGGTTTGGCTTCATCTTAGAAAAGAATGTTTCCCATAAAAAAGGAAGTCAAAACTTAGTCCCCGAGGAGATGGACCCTTTCAAGTCCTACAACGTATCAATGATAACGCTTTTAGGCTTGATTTACCCTCTAATTATGGTGTTAGCCCTACTTTTAATGTTAGTGATTTGAAACCTTTTGTAGGGGCTAGTGATAATGAGGATGAGTTTTTAGATTCGAGGATGAATCATTCTCAAGAGGGAAGGAATGATGGAAGAGCATGGACCAAGGGTCCAACCACTAGAGCTATGGCCAAAAGATTACTAGAAGATTTGACTGCTTTAGAGCTTAGTGGACCCAATGGGCTTGGTGGGCCCAAGGTACTCTTCACTTGGGCTTTACATGGAGTACTACCTTTTATTGCATCTTGAGTAGCGTAGGATTTCATATTGTTTGGTCTTGTATTATGGACCTCTAGTATAGGAATTTTGGGCCTTAGACTTATTGGGCCTAGTTTTGGGCCTCATGGGCCTAGTTTTGGGCCTCATGAGCCTTTGGGCTTTTGGTACCTAATATTGGACTCATTTTAATTCTTGTAATTTTTCCTTTCCATTTTATTTGTTTGGCCATTGTATTTAGGCCATTAGCTTAGGAATTTTAAAGGAATACGTCATAGGCATGGATCATAGCAACTTAATTACATTTAAGAGTAATTAGAGTTGCATTTGAGTCACATGTTTTGTGCCAAGGGTGACTACACATGTGATGACTCAAATGAACCCTAAATTACATTAAAATGTAATTAAGCTTCAAGATGAGAACCGGTCACATGGGCACCAAGCTTGGCGCCAACTTTGGCTTCTCATGGTTGGCGTCATTTCTCCTCCCATCCGTGGCCTATATAAGTGCATTTTTACTCTTGTGTAATCACTTTTGCATATAGAGAAATCTGAAAATTATCTTCAGCCATTTTCTCTCCAAGAGTCACCAAAGGCTCTTGACTTAACTTTAGGAATTCGTCTCCTTCTAAGGCTAAACCGTGAGCCTTCTTTGGCACTCTTAGTTTGAGTGCTTCCTTCCAAGATTTGGATCACCAAATCTAGTCTTCTTCTTCCATTCTCCTTCCCGGATTCAAGGTCTCAAGGTAAAGATCAAGTACGGATTCAAGCAAGGGAGATACATCACTCCATCTCACCTACTTGGATCCATCACTAAAATAGATTAACCAAAAGTGATTCAAAATTTGCTTTCACTACACTATTTTTTTTTTACAAAACCATGCATGTATGTGTGTGTAATCTATTCAATTGAGGATTATTTCACACTCTTTAACACACTCATTTTAATATATTATCTTTTACTAATTAGAATTTATTGAAAATTATAAAATTAGGAGAAAGATTAAAAATGTAGGATTCACCAACTTTTATGTTTTTTAATAAATTTCAACCAATTAAAAAGAGTGTGTCAAAAAGTGTTACTATCATTTTTCTTATTTCAAATTCACATACCACTATAACATTCTTCTAATCCATGTACCTTTTTTCTTACTACATCTTTATATGAATGCATTCACACTCTTTCCACCTTCAATTT